AGTTTGACAAACACTAACTTTGATCATTGACAAGCTTGATTTCTCTATACGAACAGTATGTGATTAAAAAGTTAAGCTGACAGGGGCGTAGCTACCTTCTTAATGAAGTGGAATCACAAACTATAGGGCGAGGGGTCTGGGCTCCGCATATATAGCGTTTCAAAACAATCACAACCGAAATAAAACTTGGACATTTTTGTTGTGGTTTTTTGGTCAACTATTTGTTTAACTTCGAGTCGAATGAAGACTTAACATTGTCGCTTGCCTTTTTTTGTACGTGAAAGCTTTTAAAATCACGGAGATTAGTTCCATATGCTAGTATTTCACAATTGTATTGAGCAAAGTAGATTTAAAAAAACAAACAATAAACATAAACACAATACTATATGTGGAGTTTCTGTTAGCAAAACATCATGGATACCAAATACTTGGTGGAAACATTCTCATATATTTTGCTTAACATATGTATTTAGATGTTTAAACATTTTGTGGGTAAACTCTACAAGAGAGAGATGGGAATTTCGAATTTTACGTAGTTAGGAATATTCGAAGTTGAAATTAATGAACTTTTTCAGAGTAAATGGTACTTTGATCACGATCTTTTTCATGATCTGCGTTTTTAATTAGCCAGCTAATTTACAAATGCATATGCATTCGACCAGTTGTATGGCAATATCTAGATGATAACAGTGAAGATACGTGTAATAAAAGTTTGGTGTATCTTTCGAAAAAGAATCAGCAGTTTAGTGTCCTACTCTGACAGACAGTTCTTTTTAAAATTGAATGACCTAATAGTCCAGTAAAACGAGTTAGAATTAACAATTTATTTAAATGGTTTTACAATCAACCATTCGTATAGCCGGCCCATATAGAAACGACTTCGAATTATCGAATCTATATAAAAGTTTTTTTTTGTAAAATAAATAAAAAACGTAAAACATGTACTGGAAAATGTGTACTTTTTTTTTATAATAACAACAGTTCCAACTTCTCATCTACTAGTATACGGAAACTATTGATTGATTAAATGGTTATTAATGTCCGGTAGCAAATATTACATGCACACAGGACGAGATACGTTGACGTGATGTGAAAATGAACTATTTGTGTTGTCAAGACCTACATACTTAGTCATTAGTGAACTAGTTCACAAGGTTACAGTCATTATTCCCGGATCGATACGAGTTGAAGAGTCTTCATTCTAGTAAGATGTGTGCTTTGGGGCGAAGCGGAAAATAATAATCTTCAAGTTTTTTTGTTAACCCTAGAGGGATTATGTTTTTTTTACACTCAAAGCGAGTATACGGTATGGTTGTGGTACCAACAACTATGTAGCTGGTATTTTCTAAACAATGCCCGTAATATAAAAAGCTCCTCTAAGTTTACACCAGTTGTATGTAATTATCGTACACATACATGTCTTACAGGATTAAAAATTCCGCTGCATGTGTATTCCTCTTGCTTTTATTCTTTGTGTAGTTTTTAAAATGCATACATAGAAAGACCAATTCCTATATGTTAACTTTGTCCCTCACTCTCTCTCTCTCTCTTTTTTTTTTTTTTGTTTTTTTTTTTTTTTTGTTTTGTTTTTTTTTGGTGAAAACGACGTGGATGCACCTGCTGCCGTGCCTCCGGGTAGCTACGCCCCTGGCTGATTTTTAAAGAGTTAACTAACTTAGGTGTTCTGTAACCCTTTAAGTTACACCAAATAACATGTTTTCCCTTTCAAAAAAATGGTTATATTGTCTCACCTGTGACGAAAGTTGCGGAAAGCGAGACACAGGGATTGCTTTTCCGGCGACGGCGATGACGGCGTCAACAATTATTAAGTTTTCTGCGAAAGTTGGTTTGATAAGAACTACTTGTGATAGATCAATGATATTATCTATCAAGTTGCATTAATATCAGTACATATCAGTTTGAGAACTATTTTGAGGCCCTGCCCCCTAGGTCCAGTGACTTTGAGTTAATTAGCAGTTTTCAATATTAAGTTTTCTGCTTAAGTTAGATTGATAGGAACTACTTACAATAGACATATATTTTCTATAAAGATACATTATTTTCTGTCTGAACATCTCAGTTTGTCGACCATTTTCAGGCCCTGCCCACTAGATCATGGTAAGGCGACTGAATTAATAAGCAATGTTGCTATCCATCAGATTGTCTTTTTTGAATTTTATGCCGGCAGGCGAGACATATCTCTAAGTCAACAGTTCATATGAAATATATAGCAAAAAAACACTACAAGTGATTTTGTATGTACATGCTGTGTACTTGTTCGATATTTACATGTTTATATATATGACCTTTTTAACCTTGTCAAATACCGCAGATTAGGGGGACGACCATTTGATTTCCTAAGGGGGGGGGGGGGGCGGGGAGGGAGGGAGGGGAGGTGTTTTTTTTCTGAATTGGTCATTTATTTTCATCTGTTGATACGTATGCTTATTTTCATCCGCGGAAGGAGGGGGTAGGTTTCAGGTTGATTTTTTTCTATCCAAACTGCTCAGTTATGTTATTTTCATCTGTTGCTACGCATGATTATTTTTCTTTGCCGTGATAAAATTTGTTTTCACTTTTGTATCCTTAACTATTCTGCATTTTATGTTGCAGAATATTTTTTGGCATCCTGTCTTGTGCAAAGTCATCTATTTCATTGCAGTTCTCACCAGGCACAGCTATTCCTTTTCAAAATCCTCCTCCCCTTCCTTTTCAACTAAAAAATCCAATGGTTGTCCTCTTAGAAATAATTTTGTTATTTTGTAATTTTCAACATATTGAAGTTAAGAAGTATTATGTAGATATAAATGATGTTATTTTTTGTGGGGAGGAAAAGAAATGATGTAAATAATAAATTTGAGCTTTATTAACCTGGGCCAAAGGAAAGTACAATGCTTCTTGCCGTGCAGACATGTTGGACCTGTTGCTCCTTCAAACGGTGGTTTTTCGTTCTAAGATTAATTGTTGATAACTGCTATTAATCTGGAAGGTATTAAACGTTTTACCGTTCGCTGTCTACTGTATTCACGATTGTTTAGTTCAAGTAAATAAAAGTATTTTTTTACAAATTACAATATTATCATTATCATGACAGGACACAAAATCACACAACAGGCAACCCAAGTCTGAGAATAGAATTATCATCTTATTCCAATGAATTTTTTTTACACTCAAACATATTTTGCTACAAGGAGTTTTAACACGAAATTCAGTAAAAAGTTTTGGTAGCAAACAATGAGAACGAGACAAGAACAAAGCAGTCACGTTTTTCACCAGAGCACAAAAAATAGAGTTTTTCTAAGTTTTCATAAATTCCGCACAAATATTTTCACTGAAAACATTGATAAGAAACACGTTTTAGTGTTTATGTAACTTTTGAACTGTACATAATAAGATTACGCCTCATATTTTTATTATTTCGTACTGTTGAACTTTGATGGTCTCTCGCTGAACCATCGGAGGGCTGGCTGCCCCTTATTCCCTGTTATAACTGCTTATAGCTTTCCTAATAGCCTTCAAGACTGAACTTACACTTATTTATCAGCTATATCAACTGAGTGATTTAATATAACAAAGTAATTTACGAAATATCAAATCGTCTCTTTTTCAACATCGCCGCCATTTTTTTACGAAAATAATTGGCGCCATCTTTGAATTATATAAATATACTTTTATTAAACTGATTTACTGATTTACTTATAATAGTATAATTCACGTTAATTCTTGTTCTCTACATGAGTTTATGTAAGCTGAACAAGTACCTCAATGACCATCATGCGGTAGAGGTCCCTGCAAACTCTCGTAAATTCAGTGTCCCAGTTATCATCTCCGACAGCAAGGGTTTCAGGCTGAAAAATTGTCTGATGACACAAGTAGAAAACAACATCTTGTGGTGGTGTGCCAAAGGTGACTGGTCGCACTACAGAACAAACATTAAAGTGGCTACAAGAAAACCTTCCTAACAAAATTAGATTATTAGTTAATATACACCTCTATATTTGGGTAGGCACGTGTGACTTCACATCTAAAACTAATTTTAAAGATGGAACAATAGCATTACATCAACAAGATACATCAGACGACACTATAAACCATTACCAGCAAATAAGTCAGCTCTTAAAACAGTATCCACCCTCATCAGTTACCATATTACCGACGCCACTATTCTCCATCTCAAAATATAACAGTGTAATATTTAGCTTTAGAAATAAATCACCCCAGAGTCTGCCAGATTTTACAGATCATGATAAGGAACTCAGATCAAGAATCCTTAATGTAAACACGCGTATCAAACAATTAAATCAGGAAGCAAAGGCTACAACTCCAGACTTCAACAAAGATATATACAAATCCTGTAAGGTGCGCACACAAGGAAGAACAGGCCCTCCAACGCCAAAAATAAAAACAGCCTTCTCACTATACACCGACGGGCTACACCCAACTCCACAACTTTCAAGGGTCTGGCTGCGAAAACTTGAAAAACAGATATTCTTAGACTGCTGGTCGCAATAACCTATAGACAGCTATACTCAGAGGTCAGTGTAGGAAACTCTACGCTTGACCACACAAGTCAAGATTGGCATTGATCCAAACATATAAATAACTTTTCAGGAGAACTGTTCTAGGACAGTATGTAGAACTGTCATCCTGACACCTTTTAGACAGTTCTAGCTAGAACAGTTCTAACCTAGAACTGATTTGGTCAGTTCTACGACTAGAACAGTTTTACGGCTAGAACAGTTCTACGATTAGAACTGATTTGGTCAGTTCTACGGCTAGAATTCATTTAGTCAGATCTATCCATAGAACAGTTTTAAGAACTCTTTGTCTTAAATATAAATAGGTCAAAATAATATAATATATATTAAAAAATTGCAGTGACGTCATTTAGAACTGTTCTACAATCCTGACAGGTTTGGACAGTTCTACCTAGAACAGTTTTAGACAGTTCTACCCTAGAACTGATCCTGACAGTTCTACCTAGAACTGATTTGGTCTTTTTTTCTTTTTTACCTTCACACCAGGTGAGGGAGTAAGTTGATGCTGTAAAATACACATTTGTCAAATGAAATTTACAATTTCATAAATAAAACCATGATATATAATTTTCTTAATGTTTATATACACCACTATGAAAAATTACTGTAAACAGAACAGTATCTATTGACAGTGTTTGAAGACACCATAAGAAGGTCATGCCATTGTTTAATCCCATGTATACAAGTTTTTACTTCCCCATCTCCAGAATAATACTACTTTTTGTAATCACTGAATACATCTATTGTCATCTGGAAAATGGGAAAGGAGCTTAAGATTTTTTCATATAAAAAAAAATTGCTTAAACAAATCATTTTTCAGCATAAAATAAACATTGTTGTAGTGTGACATTGACTATTGACAGAATATCAACAATTTTCTGGATTAAACTTTCTTACATAAAGCTTTCATAAAATCATTCTTCTATAATATAAATAATATGAGATAACTTTTAAAATTTAAATTGGATTGAAGACTCAAACTACCAGGTTGTACAGAATGGGCACATTGCATTTGCGCCAATTTTTACAAAATCCAATTTTTCATTTGCGCCAAAAATTGAAAACTACATTTGTGCCATTTTACAAGTAACATATAACAGAAAATGTTATTCATTGCTACACTCTTGAATAACTAAGTAATTTCATACTCATTTCTAATACAAAACTGAGAGTCACTTAGAATTAAAATATTGATTTTAATAAGAAAAGAAAGCAAAGCTTTCTCACTGAAGCATACCCATAACCTACTTTTTTTCACATAAAATATATAAATGAAAAGACAGCATTTTTTACACTTTTCCCTACCTTTTGAAATAAGTCATTAATTAAGGGACCGCCTGCAGAATCAAATAATTGTTTATTTAACTGTACCGCATTGCTATCCACCGTCCACTCTGATAAGTCAAAGTCCATTCTGTAAATCTAGGTTTAAAAAAACAAAATATTTGTTAAGTGTTACTGAAAATACATGTATCTATCTGGTGTGACATATTTTTTAAAGCTTTTAACTTTTGTCACTGAAGACCATCATAATGGTACTCTCTATTACATGTATTAAGTCTATATCTATATAAAGTTATTTTGATGGTGATTTTTTTTCATGCAGAAAGTCTCATTTTACAGCCATGGACATGCACTGACATGATGGAACCTTTTATCATAATATTTACAAAAAAATTCAACATACCTAACTTAAGTATTGATATCCTTATTGACAGTACACGTTTATCCACGGGCAGTATGTTTTTTTATTATATTTATGAAAGGTTAGTGAAAATTAACAAATGCCGCGTGTCCAATGAAATGAATGGATAATATAAGAAATTTGCATAAAGTATAATGATGATAATTATCACAAAAGTCATGCATCATATAAGCTATGACTGTGTAAGACAGCATGATTTCTTAAATTTTTCTCTTGCTTTTAGTCACTACATGCAATTATTTTCACGGTATTGTTAACTAGTATTCATTATCGTTTGGTTTGTGCTTGCGGTTTTTATAAAGTTTACCCTTATCTGTCATTCTGTCATTCTGTCATTCCATCATTCCGTCATTCCGCAACGAACAGTTATACGGACTTTTTTTCTAAACGCATCTACATATTGAGCTGATTTTTAGTATGTGAGTCTACTATGATGAGTTACAGATCGAGTTTATGTTTGTTTCTGCTCCGCTTATTTTTGCCGATATAACGGGCTTTGGAGTTTGAAAATTTTGTGAAAATAACAGTTATACGGATTTTTTTTCTAAACGCCTTCACATATTGAGCTTGATTTTTCTACGCTTTACACTACTATACCCCATGCTCAATTGAAAGATCGACTTCACCATCTCATTAAACAGAGCTTTTTCTATAAAAATGGGAATCGTAGATATAAATTTCTTGTTTCGGGTTATCACAATTCTTATTTTGTGAAGAACCACACTGATTCTATCAAAAAATACACTGAAGATGATATTATCAAATTCTGGACTTTTTGATCGACAATATATTTGTTGAGTTTGGAGGATTGATATTTCAACAGACAGTCGGTATTCCAATGGATACTAATTGTTCACCCCTACTAGCCAATTTGTGTTTGTACTCGTATGAAGCAGAATTCATTCAGAACTTTCTAAAAGAAAAAAAAACGCACCTTGCGAAATTCTTGAATTTTACTTTCAGATATATTGATGATGTCCTATCACTGAATAACCCATATTTCAGTCAGTATTTGCATCTCATATATCCAGTGAACTTGAAATAAAGGATACTACAGATAATAGAAGGAATGCTTCATACCTTGATCTTTTCCTCAATATTGGCACAGATGGACGACTTCAGACTAAAATTTATGACGAACGGGATGATTTCAACTTCCCAATTATCAATTTCCCATTTCTCAGCAGTAACATACCTTCTGCCCCCGTCGTATGGTGTTTACATATCTCAATTGATACGTTATGCTCGTGCATGTTCACACTATACGGATTTCATATACAGGAGTGTGCTCCTTACGGAGAAACTGCTCCAACAGAGTTATGAGGAGGAAAGATTACAAATGACACTCCCGTAAATTTTATGGACACCATCACGAATTGGCTGATCTATACGATGTGTCTGTGTCTTAACTAACTAACGACATTTTTACCACGTCTTAGATTGTGGTTTACCATCTACGTCGTCTGGTCTGCTTAGTATACGTACCGAACGTGACCTATTCCCGAATATGACTGTTTTGCCGAGTGTGAATTCACATTGCTATACGACGTGTCTCGGTATTTATATATCCAACATTCATGCACAAAACTGTATTTAGTTATGATGTTTCTTTTGTAAGTCCGGTTGGATATTTTGTTATATCTTATGTTCGCTGTTGGAGACGACGTGGTTCGGTATTTATATATCCCGCTTTCGGGCATTTTGTTGTACCTTCTTATACGTGTGGGTCCGGTGGGTCATTTTGTGCTGAGTTGTTGTCTGTTTATTTCGTTTGTGGTTTTAATTCTGTATTTTCGGTACAGTTTACATTTGTTTTAATTTGTCAGTATAGTCGAGATACTCGTAGTTCGTCTACAGGGTTTTTGTTTTATGTTGTTTGTTTTTCTGTGTTTACTGTTTGGTCCTATATGATCTTGCCTTATATCACAGTTATTTTATTTCTATTTTCTATATATGTATGTAAAAGTTAAGATTAACATCAGCTACTTCATTTATATGATTTTAAGTTTAAAACAACTATATGCACATGAGTTTTTTTGTTTATGCACAGTTTTGATTTAGAAGAAAAACTGACATGGTCAGAAAATACAAATAATAACACCATTACAAACAGAATTTCATTTTAATATTTTCAATAAAATTGAGAATGGAAATGGGGAATGTGTCAAAGAGACAACAACCCGACCACAGAACAGACAACAGCAGAAGGCCACCAACAGGTCTTCAATGCAGCGAGAAATTCCCGCACCCGGAGGCGTCCTTCAGCTGGCCCCTAAACAAATATATATACTAGTTCAGTGATAATGAACGCCATACTAAACTCCAAATTGTACACAAGAAACTAAAATTAAAAATAATACAAGACTAACAAAGGCTAGAGGCTCCTGACTTGGGACAGGCGCAAAAATGCGGCGGGGTTAAACATGTTTATGAGATCTCAACCCTCCCCCTATACCTCTAGCCAATGTAGAAAAGTAAACGCATAACAATACGCACATTAAAATTCAGTTCAAGAGAAGTCCGAGTCTGATGTCAGAAGATGTAACCAAAGAAAATAAACAAAATGACATTAATACATAAATAACAACAGACTACTAGCAGTTAACTGACATGCCAGCTCCAGACTTCAATTAAACTGATTGAAAGATTATGTCTTCATCATATGAATATCAGGCACAATCCTTCCCGTTAGGGGTTTAGTATCATACCATCATAACATATATGAGAAGAACATAACCCGTGTCATGCCAACAAGTATGCCATGATTACAAAATACATAAAATAACACCATTACAAACTCAATACCAATTTAATATTCTTGTACGTGTCTATTTTATTTTTAGAAATTTACCTGTAATACATATAATATAAACGTCACAAAAATACGTCACCTTTTGTGATGTTGATCCATTCATGTGACGCGCAGTTTATATTTCGTCTGTGGTGTCCTGGTGTGCTGTCGTAAATTTATGGGAGGTGTCCGTTGTTATTCTACGGTAAACATATTGTAATGAACTATTATATTATTTATTTATGTATTTCTCTATGCTGAGTGTTCTAGCGTTTGTTTGTACTGTATTCCTGTCACGTAGTATTGTCATTTTAGCGATATTTTCAACATTGCCATATGAGCGGGAGGTTTGGCTAGCCATAAAACCAGGTTCAACCCACCATTTTTTCTTTAAATGTCCTGTACCAAGTCAGGAATATGGCATTTGTTATCTACAGTCCGTTTTTATGTATGTTGGCGTTTGCTTTTGTTGTAGTTCAGTATTTCTGTTGTTCTGTTTTCCTCTTATATAGTTGATGTGTTTCCCTCGGTTTAAGTTTGTTACCCGGATTTTTTTTTTTTTTGCTTAATCGAATTATGACTATAGAACAGCGGTATAATACTGTTGCCTTTATTCTTCAACGATGAGTTACAGATCGAGTTTACGATTAGTTCCGCTATGCTGATGTTTGCCGAAATTACGGGCTTAGGACTTTTTTGTGAAAATAACAGTTATACGGATTTTTGTCTAAACGCCTTCACATATTGAGCTGATTTTAGTATGTGAATCTACTAGGATTAGTTACAGATCGAGTTTACGTTTAGTTCCGCTCCATTGATTTTTGCCGAAATTACGGGCTTTGGACATTGAAAATATCGTGAAATTAACAGTTATACGAATTTTTTTTTCTAAACGACTCACATATTGAGCTGATTTTAAGTATGTGAGTCTACTATGATGAATTTCAGATTGAGTTTACGTTTGGTTCTACTCCGCTAGTTTACGTTTGGTCCTGCTCCGCTGATTTGTGCCGAAATCACTGGCTTTGGAATCTTGAAAATTTCGTGAAAATAACAGTTATACGGACTTTCATTCTCAAATTACCACTTTTAATTATGGCTTCAGGCTTTTGTTGCGAGCGGGTCCATTCGTGTCGTTCCGTCACATCTAGTTATATTATATAGCGTTATGAAATACAAATGTAGTTGTGTCATATACCTCACGTTTATAGTTTTTATACACCCCTGGCTTTTTTTTTTGGGGGGGGGGGGGGGGGGGGGTTTGAGTGTCCCTGATGAAAGTTAGTACAGAAATGCACTTCGGTCGCACAGAATTAATAAAGAAATGTTCATGCAATGTTAAATGGAGCCAGGTTTGAATTGTATTGACCACGGCACATAAACACAGACAACATTAATTGACAAAGAGAGACACACACACAAACATTGTAGATTTGATTTGATTTTTGATTTTTTTGGTGTTTAACGCCACTTTTAAGCACCGCTTTTGGGATATTTTGTGGCGGCCAGTTTTTATTGGTGGAGGAAGCCCGGAGAAAACCACCGACCTTCGATAGGAAAACTGACAATCCTAGTCAATTAAGATTGGAGTCGAGTGCACCCGCACGAGCGGGGTTCGAACTCACAACCTCAGTGTTGACTGGCTAGTGATTACAGTAGTAACTACTTAGACCACTCGGCCACCGAGGCCCCTAAACATTGTAGATGATGTTAATAAAACCCTTTTCTGTATTAATTTGCAATGTTAAGCTAATAATATAAAATCACGCCATCTATACATCATGGTAGGCAGACACTAATCATTTTGTAAATAATATACCATAATAATGGAAATACATATATTAACATATAAAAGAGAGGCAAAAGGTACCAAAGGGACATTTAAACTCATAAGTCGAAAATAAACTGACAACGCCGTGACTAAAAAAAAAAGACAAACAGACAAACAACAGTACACAAAACACAACGTATAAAAACTAAAGACTGAGCAATACGAACCCCACCAAAAACCTGGAGTGATCTCCGGTAAATCTATTTTAATTTCAGATAATGAGTCGTATGTTCAAAATACGTTTACGTCAAAATTAATTTTGTCTCTCTCTAAAAAGTATTTGATATTGATTTACTAGCACTTGGGTGATAGCTAGATAATTGTACATGATGGTTGCGTTTTCACTAAGACTAGTAACAACAATCCGAAATTATAAGCT